CCAAGGGAGGCGCCATGCACCACACCGGTTACCTAATCGAAGCCGCTATGCGTAATCGGCCACACAGGTGAAGCCTCCTTGGCCTTTCCGGGTAGCCTTTAGGCTGCCCTTAGGCCGAGTGTTGAAATTTTTTTTTTGCTCTTGTTTTATTCTTTTTGGGCCTTAGGCCGCGGAACCATTGTGATTTCTTTTGGGGCATAGGGCCCAAATTGTGACTTTTTGGAGGCCTTAGGCCCAAATTGTTCGATTTTTCCGGGCCTAGGCCAAATTGTGAGATTTTTTTAGAGGGCTTAGGCCTGAAATGTAATCATTGACTTTCTCTTAGTTTGTGCTTACCATTATTCTTATGATAGTATGCAAATGCTAGGAGGGGGATTAAAGATATCTTTAGTTAGGAAACAGGAGATAGACCTTAAACATGTTTTTTACACCTTTTAGGAGTGCAACATTAGGACTGGCGTCAGGCGAGTCCTCATATTGCCTGAGATCCCGTTCTGGACATACTTGATCATAATAACGCCGAGCGGGCAGCCTATCATTCGGCCCTTCTCCACCTCGAAACTTTCTTAAGAAACCTCCCGAGCTGGGTAGGCACGAATTATAAGAGCCTACTGGGTGCGTTGGCTGAGAGATGGTGGGACACGCACCAACACTGTTTCCACTTCTCTTGGGGTGAGATGACGATGATCCGCCCCGATTCTTTTGCGGTGATCTCGGGATTCCTTTTGGTACTCGCCGCGATCGAGCTAATATGACGATTGGAAGACGTGCGGTTCTCACCCCCGACCGAATGACCAGAGCTGATTCAGGCCCAAGAATCAGGACCTCCCCGGATTCGTTAACCCGCCTATTTCCCCATCCTCCTACTCCGATCTGAGTGTACTAGAGCACTGGTTACTCCCTCCCAGCCAGGCACCCACATGGCATTTATCGTACAGATCTCAGAGACCAAGGAGAGCCTAATCCGGCTCATACAGCGTTAGCTTTAAGATTCACGTGCTGCTATGCTGGACTCGCTATTGAATATAGTTTGCTTCGTCATTCTGGTCTTAACGAGAAAAGAGAAGTTTAAATAACCTCTATAACTGAGCCAGAGTTTGGAGGACCTTGGCCAAAAACCTCACACTGCGAAATTATCGAATAGAGGGACCGGTGCTATTACGCAGCTATGAGATGCCGCATGTACGATGCTCTGTGCGATCTGAGTCGAGCCGACTCGTAGGCTCAAGTGGGACTTTCTATATCCTATTCTCAAGGAGGATAAGTGTAACAGAACATATCCCCTTATTCTGTGCCACGTCTATTTTTTTATTTACTAATATCCTTTCCTCTCCCTTTGTGGCCAGCAATCTTGGGCTCCTTTTGAGTATTTCCCTATATTCCGCCCTGAGCTGGCCGCTACCTGATCTTCGAGTCTTAGGGCTTGGTCAACCCTTTAGCTTTGCAGAAGAGTGGTACTAGAGAAAACACTGAGCTAGACCAACAGTGCCTGTTCTACGCCGGAAGTCTTTGGGGGATCTGCGGAGCTTCTTCGATACTTGTACGCAATAGGGCAAGAGAGCTTCGAAGTGGCACATACCCTGAATTTCTTCTTGCGTATGTGTGAAAAAATACAAAAATATTGTATATAACACATTTGCTTTCTTTACAATAGGTTGAAGTAGGGGCGGATGGGCATATTACTACAGACGATATTTGCAAGCGCACGAACAAACTTTCCCATTATGGATTGAACGAGCGGATATCCACCCATTTCAGTGTTCATCGGGTGGAATTCTAGTCATGTGCCTCCTGTCTCGGCCGGCTGGTTTGTCCTTATCTATCCTACTACTACTGAGCACGTTACTAGGCCACCTTCTTATCTCCACCATGTGGCGAGACCGAGAGTGGACTTCCAGGTTTAGGGCTGGCGGCTTCCGTTCCTCTTCCCTCCCCAAAGGACATGCGACGCGGCTGCAAACAATGGTTGCCTACAGATGTCCATGAACTGAGGGTATCCCGGGCACATGGAATTGATCCGTTTCGGTGGGAGATTTTAGTGACTGAACATTCTTCTAGCCAAGGTCGCAATCCGCTGTTTCTGATGCGAGACGGCACAAAACATAGCATCATCGGCGCACTGCCACACAGGTTGCAGTCTCCCGAGGTTCGACGTCCTTCCCAGCCGCTTGCAACCACCCGAATCCTATTCTGAAACTCGGGCTTGATATTCAAAACGTGTTGTTTACCCGGCCAGGGACTGCAACGCAAGGTAGGAGGCCTGTGGACCCAGCCCTTCTTCTAAAGCAATGCGAAGTTCCACTGCCAACAACAAAAATTAAACGCTCAAAGCCAGCTGTTCTAACTTCTCATACCCCTTCCAATCCAAGGTCTTATTGGCAACATTCTTCTTGATTTCATAACGGCCTTAAGTTCAGGGTTGATTGCTTGTTTATTTTTGGGGACCGACTATCCAAAGTTAGCACACTTTTCATTTTCCAACTCCGGCATCCTTTCATGGGCCAGAAGGCTGCGCCATCTTTCGCCAATAAGGATCATCAGACTGCAGCTGCCACATTCCATGTTATGATCGAGATCCCTTGTTTTCTTAGGCACACTTTTTTGGGGTGAGAACTATTTCGACACAAAATCCAACTTAATGGCTGCAGCTCAGCATACCATCCGCAAACCGATGGTCCAACGGGAAGTATTGAACTCGTAGCCTATGGCCTATTGAGTGTTTTTGTTCTGACGCATGGCCACATACTGGATGCAACATTGGTGAGTTTGGGCGAGTATTCATACAACAAAGCTCCAAAGCTCAGCTGGCACCACACCATTCAGTAACTCGTCCTAATGGCAGCCCCGTCCAAAAGTGCAGGCAGATTCTTCCGGGGAAACCAAAGTGATAGAGTGAGCCACCACTTCGGCTATATCGGTAGAGATCTAGCATCCTTCGCAAGTTAAAAGCTCAACTCTCCTCCGCGCACACCCCCCCGGCAAATGCTGTGAACTATCTAACAACACCGCAGAATGTAATATGCAAGTTGAGAAGATTTTTCTGAAACTCCAACAATATCGTCAGATGTCAGTTCCAAAAACCGGCCTCATGCTCTAAGCTTCTCACGCTATGGTTACGGGCCAATTAGAAATTAAAGGTCAATTGGGAAGCTTCGCCTATAAACTCCTGGCTGCCAGATTATACATCTAGAATAAGCACCCCATTCCACATCATCACTGAAAAGGGGTATGAGATCACACGAACCTATAAAATCTTCCTCGTGACTTTACCCATTCTGATGAAACCCATGGTTGAAGCGCAGACAGATGTGCTGTCCAAAACTCATCCAGCCAGAGATAGATATACTGCTATTAGACAGGCCTGATTAAATGGAAAGGGCAGACCCATGGAAGTAGGCCAAGCTACTGGATGGATGGCGTCGACAATTGCGGCCAGTTTCCCTCCCCAATTCAGCCTTGAGGACAAGGGCAAGATTACTCAAGGCTTGGTATTGATAGACCTCTAGCCTAAGCCGTTAGGTATATTCCCACTGATAGGTGCAAAAAATGGCGCCAAGATTCAACACTGCGGATTGGCTACCGTTCGGGAATTAAGGAGAACACATCTAGCCATCACCAATCGATTAGGACACTTTGTCCAAATTCAGTATAAACATAAACAAGGGGTTGATCGTGTATATATACAGGCAGGGCAAGGAGGAGGTCCCTGATAAAAAATTCCTTTTTCATTTTATTGTTTGGAAGGCTAACTTTCATTTGTATTGTTGGAGAGCTACTGCAAGCTCTTGGCTTGATTCGTAGGATTCAAGAATTTTCCCTTTTGTTCTAGTTTCTGTTTTCTTTCTTCTTCATTTTTAATATCTGAAGATTGTAATCTGTAACACTTGACTCTGAATTGAAATACAGATTTCTTCTTCTCATACCCATTCTAGAATTCTTTGAATTTTTTTTTTATTTGGTTATTTCCTTACTCTATCAAAATATGACCAGACCAATTCCTTAAGTTGCTTGCGACCAGTATTCCAACAATTTTACTATGAATATGGTGTGTTCTTTTGATTAAATTGATTCAATTCCTTGAATTTATTTATGGATTTCTCACCGTGTTTTTGTGGAGAAATAATGTGGTATATACTCTTTAACTTTCTTTGAAATTTATATTTCTTTTTTGCCTCACCTCTCTCAGGCGCATGCTTAAGCAGAAGCGAGCATGTCCTGGATTTCCGGAGTCATCCTTGACCTGATCCACCAAGGAATTTTTGGAATCTACAAAAACATTCTAGGAGAGGGCTCATAAATGTCTTGCACCTCCGCTCCAGCACCCTTTGTTTCTTAGTGCACCTTGCACCTTTAATAACTATGATAATAGCCTTGCAAGCTTTCCTTTGTGTTTCTTTGCTTATTCAACAAATTCCTATACAAGCCCTAATTGTTAACCTAAGTATTCTACCATTCTAGCCTCCCAATAAACTCCCCTTTTCTTCTTTAGTTTTGCTCCTCAATCCCACCTTTTTATAAACCCTAATTGTCCTCATTAATTCTAGCTTTCAAATTAACCCAAAATTCAACCATAATAGCCAGCCCTTCTACCCATCCTACATCATATATTCATCTGCATTTCTCCCAATTAATAATCACTTTGCGACTGCTATATTTTGCACAACAAAGAATATCAGAGCTATTAGGTTAATATTGAAATCCAGCGGCTTTCCACTATGATGCTCTAATATACATCAGATTGCAAGGATTAAGCTGATTATGCTTTACAAAAGTGCAAAACAGATATCAACAAAATATATTGGCCTCCACAATTATGCTTTCTAACAGGGAACAAATAAATTTTGACAAGGTAACAAGATCAAGAGTAAAAAGATCTTACTCAAGTTCAAAAGTCATATTTTTTGCTTCACTTACAGCCGCCCTGACGGCATACAGTGTCATCTTCTTTACCTATTAAGAAAAGGAAATTGTGTTTCATAGTGCAGGCAATTTTAGAAATGGCACATTATTGACTGCACACAAAGCACTAATAAATATCTATTCCAATTTAATGAAAGAGAGCATAATAAAATTTAGACAAAACACTCGTTAAAAGCATCTCCTTAAGGAAGTGATAAATGATAATGTGTAAGAGTGTCCCGGCTTAGAAAACAATACAGCATATATTCACCTTAAAATAGAAGCTTCAGAGAAGCATTAAAGACAAACTGCAATGGTGTTCCATGAAAACCCAAAAAGCTGAGCAATTTCCAAAACCTAAATTACTAATGCCACATCATTATAAAAAATAACCAAACAAGGATAAATATATAACAACACCAACCCCACGAGACAAAAAAAGAAGTCACAAGAGAATAAGCATTTGGCAATCCTTTCTTCTTAAAAACCGAAATAAGTGGTCCCCACTTCCTAATTTTACTCTACTTCAGTCCGTCAATAAAATATTACTTCCTCCGTCCCATTTTGTTTTCATGGTTTAACAAAACACGCATATTAAAGATTTAGTTAACAAAAATTACTTTGCCTTTTTTTACCCTTAACTCATGAGTTTAACAAAACACGCATATTAAAGATTTAGTTAACAAAAATTACTTTGCCTTTTTTTACCCTTAACTCATGAAGATATTAATAAAAGGCTTTCATTTAATGAACAATCATATGAGTTTATTATGGCAAAAACAATTGTTTAAATATATAAATTTAGAAACCTTGCAAATATTTTGGGACATCTAAAAAAGGAATAACAAGCAAACAAAACGGGACGGAGGAAGTATATACTTTTAGTTTGTAAGGTTTTACCTTGAATCTCTATTAATCCTTCAGTTTTAAAATGAAATAATTTTTTTTTTAATTCCTAAAGTCAAAAAATGAGGGACCAAAATTAAAAGGCCTAACAATCAATTTCATTCTAAACTTTTTAAATAGTCTCAATTTCACCCTAAATCAACCTTCATATCCTAAGCACTCTAAATTCATCAACCAAGTTGTAATTACATCTTTAATTACTTTTAGGGTGCAATTGCATCCTTAAATATTAAAAAAAATTAATAATTAAATATTATATTAAAAATATTAACAATTAAAATAATTAATAAATAATATTAATAATAAGTAATAAAAATAAGAATAAGTAATAAAAACTTTGTTGTATAACTTCACTCAAAAATAGAGAAAAAGATGGAAGATATATAAATAGGGAGTCCATTAGAGTTCGATAAAGGAGGAATGAAAGGACGATAAATGGCAGAATTCAGTATAATTACATACTGTATAGAGAATTTAGGAAGAATTTATGTGGAAATAGCCCCTCCCATACCCAACCAAGCATATAAGTAAGGACTCTTAAAGCACTGAATTAGTGAATTACAACAACAATCTTAAACTTATAATTTCTCATCCTCTATATGTATGCAAAGACAACTAATTTTAATGTCAAATTCAAGGTCATGAAGGGTGTAGAAAAAAAATACATAATACTTACCTCCAATTTGTCTTCTTTAGCTCTATGGTTCTTTGGAAGCATGCGGAACTCTTCTGTCAACCGAATGCATTCTTGAACATTGTCAGGGGATACAAAATCAAGGGCAACTTTTATGCATGACTGGACCAAGAAGAAAAAGAGGAAAGGAAGTAAGCATTGACATATATGTCATTAAAATCCAGATAACTCCCTAACAACCCAAAAGGATACCAATTAACATGTGAATCACATGTGACTAGTCATGATTTTGATTTGATATAGTTAGTCAGTTCTAAAATGTAAAATGATAGATAAATCCATACAAAGTTATTGATAGCATAACAAGCTCGTATATAAAATCAGTAGCTTTGATTTTGACCTGATATCTAACATACAACAATAACTAAGCCTTAATTCCAAGCTAGTTGGGGTCAGCCACATGGATCCAGTTCTTCTGTTCCGTTTGGTTTTGCATTAGTTCTTTAGAAAGAGCTGGCATATCTAGATCTTTCTTAATCACTTCTTCCCATATCATCTTGAGTCTTCCTCTCTCTTTCCTAGTCTTGTCTCCTCTAAGATGCTCCGTTTTCCTTATAAGAGCTTCTAACAGTCTATGCACATGGCTAAACAACTTAACCTTTCCTCTTTAATTTCAACCGGATATCTAACAATGCCAAATATAATTGCTAAGATGAAGAAACTATAAACATCTATCTTAATTCTCTCTAATAGGTGATTATCCGATTAGAAGAAGAATGCCTCACATTGTGACCACGAAGATTTTATTCTCCCTTAGAGTTTCTACACTTACACATTATTTTTGACATAAAAGATGTTTTTTGGAATTTTACAATTTATTTCTTTATTTATCACCAAAACTAATGGAAGATGGAGACCAAAAGGCAAATTTCAAATGAAATCACCAGAACCTAACATGTCACTTGCAAAGTTGCCTGGCTTGATAAAAAGACAATCAGATCAAGAAATGGAATGGAAAAGCAAGCTCATCAAGTATATACACACTGAATGCTAGAAAATCTAACCTGTCTATTTCTAACTTGATGTGGACATCCTGCTGGAATGAAAACTGCCTCGCCAAGGTGTTGCTCAAACGTCCAAGGTTCAACATCTGATCAAGAATTCATGGTTAAACAAGATTATGGAAATTTCAAATAATTAAAATGAATAATTGAGATAAATAATTTCTTACTGAACTCCTCCTTCAGCAGCCTTTTATGTCTCTCATTTAGGTAAAAGGTTTGATCATGAATAGGATGAATAACCTAAAGCAAACACAATACAATGGCTTAAAATGATGCAACTTACAATAATTCTATTGGTATTGATAGAAAAGTACGCACAGAGTTCACAGCAAGATTACTGATATGGCGAAATTCTTTTTGATGCTTCTTCAAGTACTCAATTAGCTTGGGTACATCTTGCCTACGGAAAATGTCCCAAACAGCACCACCATATTGAAGCTTTGCAGTGTGATTGTCTTTAAGAGATTTACTGGCCGTACTCATATTTAAATCAACTGACCCAAAATCCCTTGTTTCTCCTGCTACATCAAGGCTGGGGCATTGATCATGGTGATTGAGAGAATTAGAACAGTTTGTTTCCAACTCCATGCCAGTGATTTCATCTACTCCTTGATCATTAGATGTGCTTGTTTTCAAATTTTCAGATAACAAGTCATCCTTGACAAGGTCACTACATTCCGATGAATATCCATTCAACCCATCCTGTTCCTCAATCATACTATTCATCTTCTTCCTATCTTTGTCCCACAAGGAACTGGAATCTAGCATCTGAAAGTCAGAATTTTGCACCCTAGCATCTGTACTACCAGCCAACTGCTCATTGATATTTTCAGTTACCATAGTTTCTGTTGAAGTAGAACATTTTTGAGCAAACTGAATGCTACAGGATCCCCTAGTACCCAACTCATGAGATTTACTTTGTTGTTCATCAAATTTCATTTCCTGTATATATAATCGTTCCAGTGAGGAGTCACTCTCCATGGTATCCAATTTTTCGGATAATTCTGGATCAGTACCCTCATCTTTATGATGTCTTTTCCATGGTTTCCTTCCAAATTTACCTGGTGCGTTCTGGATCCCATCACAAATCTGATGCAAATCCTCATCTTCATATTGTTTTTGTAATTTGCCAATAATTTTACTTTGCCAATTGGGAATCTTCACTTCATTCATGTGAGTGAGTACATTAACCTAAATTAACAATTATTTTAGAAAAAAAAAAAAAGGCATGAGTTGGTGGAGATCAACTCAAAATACAAGATGCAACCAAGTTTTTGATACTATTTGATGCATGTCAAGTGATATAAATCAGTAGGTATATGGTGATCAAAAGGATCTACAAGTTCCCAGGTGAAGAAATGGGCTTGAAAGAAGACCCAAGGCCAATCAATATGATCCAAACATGTGGGTCTTGAGCCTTTTATTTAGTATTATGTTTTAATTAACATGATTGGGCCTGTTTGAACTGGGCTTTATCATTTAGTTTATAAGGTTTCTTAACTTATAAATACTAAGTTTTCAGTATTGTAATAGAGAGAACAATTTATCCATTTTATACAATTGAATTCAAGAGAGGCGAATTCTCTTTGATTCTTCATTGAACTTGCTATCAAACTAATCAAAATTATCAAAATAATTAAACTTTGTGGTGTTCAATCTTTTACCTTAATATCTTTGTTTCATATTACTAGCTAAATATTGATCAAGATACGTTATTCCATCCAAGCAGAAATTCCTACTTTAGGATTTCTGGTTCCTAATTTAGGATTTAGGGCTTATATATCAAATCTAATTATGGGGTATCAAGACAAAATTATTGGGGTTCCACATCATTAGGTATCAAAGCCTTGGCTCAAATAAGGTTTTATCTATTTTTCTTTTGCTTTTTTTTTTCCATTTGCTTTCTGTTAATTTCATTTTATTTTCGTTTGCTTCCATTTATTTTTGTTTCTTTTCATTTTATGTTTACATGTTTTTACATTAAATCATCTTGTTCTCATTCTTGTTCTTTTATTGAAGTCGAAAATTGTTGTTGCCATATTTCTTGTTTTTGTTTGATACTACTTATTTCTATTCTTGTCCGTTTATCATTATGTCCAACAAAGGTAGTAATGTAGAGATGCAAGATGAATTTTTTTATTCTTCAAGCTATATGACAATAGTTCAAGCACATGAATGTGATGTTTGGAGAGATAAAGGATAGATGGGAAAGATAAGATGCACGTATTGATAACATACAAAGGATGCAACTAGGGGTGGCCATGATTCCGGAACTGCCGGTTCTGGTTCTGAAACCGATAGTTCCAGTTCCAAATAGAGTGGAATCGGAAACTAATGATTCCAATTCGGGTTTTGAACCGGCCAGTTACGGTCCCTTAATGATTCCAAAACCAACAGTTCCAGATGAATCTCCAACCGGTTTTCCAGGTGGTTCGAATAATTTTAAAATCAAAAAATCTAATATACACAAATATCATTAACAATTGAAAGAAATAAAACATATTCTTTCCTTTAGTTTCTACATGGTATCAGAGCCATTGCCGTGAATTTTTCAGCAACGGTTTCAATTTGAAAAGTGGTCTGAGAGATACACACAGCACCACTGGAAGTGGAAGTTGGTCGTCACCGCCCGTCTCAACAGGAAGAACAACCGCTGATGGCACTCCGTCCAAACCGCGTCGTCGTCTGACCACGCGCATGTGCATACGCGCCTCCAGAAGATTCTGACTATTCCTCACACGCCGGCACGTGCGGCTGTTTCCGGAGACGATTCTTGTTCCGGCGACCTCAACTCGGTGTGGCGACTCATACCTACTGGTTCTTCAACACCAATTTTGCCTTTTTTGGAATTTGTTTTTCCTTTCCACCACTACTGCTGCCTTTTTTTTTTTATCGCTACTGCCGTTTAAATTTTTTTTTTTTTTTAAGATATGGTTGACGAAAAGAAGGTAGATATGGTTTTTCACTCAGAGAATCCCTCACTTCAGATTAGTCGGGTGAAGTTAGATGAAACAAATTATCTGGTTTGGTCTCAGTCTTGTTTATTATTCATTGAAGCTAGAGGTTTGCAGGATACCTTGATGGTGGAGCAACTAAACCAGTTTCGACAAATCCGGCCTTTAACAAGGTGTGTTGAAGTCGATGAAATTAACAAATTATTCTGTTTGGTTCTAGGTTCTTTGTTTATTATTGCATTGAGCTAGAGTGGTTGTTGCAGGCTACTCTGATTGGTGAGCAAACTAAACCAGTTTCGACAAATCCTGGCCTTTAACAAATGCAAAGGGTCTCCGCCAGATTCTCTTATAATTATGTCTTGGTTAATAAATTTCATGCAACCAGCCAATCAGTTATTTCGCGGAGGAGTATTTCCTTTCTTGATACAGCTATAGAAATAGAAAGATGTATGTGCTGCGGCTTCACAGACGTATTCACAAAGACTGGAAACTATAGTGCAGAGCGTTGTTTGCAATGCGGGAGGATTGGAAGAACAAGGAAGTTCAGTGGAAACCAAGGAGAGGATATCTGACTATCGCTCAATAATACCATTTACTGGAAGTAGCTAGGTCTCTTATGTTCACTATGAATCTTCTCAAAACATATTGGGTGGATGCTATTTTGACTACTGCTTACCTTATCAATCGTATGCGTCTTCATACTTTAAATTTTAAAACTCCATTAGAGGTTCTTCATGGAAAAAATTCTTATATTGTACCTTCTAAAGTCTTTGGCTGTGTTTGTTTTGTTCATCAGAATTGTCTAAGCAAATTAGATTCTAGAGCCTTGAAGTATGTTTGTTGGTTACTCTACTACTCAAAAAGGATACAAGTGTTATTATCCTCCTTCTAGGAAATACATTAGGAGTATGGATGTTCGGGAATTTGAGTCTTATTTTCCTTCCCAGTCACCTCTTCAGGGTGAGAAATATTAGATGGAAGAGGTGATGGATGACATTCCTTTCTTGGGGGAGATTTCTGTAGACAGATAATAAGAGAGACCAACCACCCAAACCTGTAGGAAGATTGGATAGACCTGATTCGAAAACCTACATACAGCGGACTAATACAGATACAACCATGGAGCATGATACCTATGATCAACCATCCTCTCCAATTTCAAGCCCTGAAAATACAGAAGATTAAGAAAGTCTTAGATAATAATCCAGTTCCTGAACAACATAAACCCACTAAGTCAGCCAACATACTGAGCGATAGTCAGAATCTCCCTGCTTGTTTCATGAACTTTCCTGTCGCCAATTCATACCTCTGAGGCATAGTTTATCAGTTTGTGAATACGTCTGTGAAGTAGCATCCCATATCTTCTTAGTTGTATCAAGAAGCAAAATATTCCTCGGAAATAGTGGCTGCATGGGAATTTATATAACCAAGACCTAATAGAGAATTCTCGGATTCCACTTGTTAAGCCGGATCTGTCGAAACCTGGTTTAGTTTGACTCCACCAATCAAAGGTATCTAAAGGCCGGATCTGTCGAAACTGGTTTAGTTGCTCCACCATCAAGGTATCCCTGCAAACCTCTAGCTTCAATGAATAATAAACAAGACCAAGACCAAGCCAGGTAGTTTGTTCCATCTAACTTCACTGGACTAATCTGATGTTTGGGGTCCTACTAAAACTGTCTCTCTCTCTGGTTATAGATGGTTTGTGACCTTTATTGATTGTTGCACTAGATTGACGTGGGTTTATTTGATGAAAACAAAAAATGAAGTTTTTTCGTGTTTTCAGAACTTCCATAAAATGATTTGTACTTAGTTTGATGAGCATGTTAAAATCCTAAGAACTGATAATGGTACTGAATACATGAATACAGTTTTTCGTACCTATTTAGATTCTAATGGTATTATACATCAGACTAGTTGTGTAAGTACTAGTGCACAAAATGGAGTAGCGGAAAGGAAAAATCGGCATTTACTGGAAGTAGCTAGGTCCCTTATGTTCACTGTGAATCTTCCCAAACCATATTAGGAGATGCTATTTTGACTGCTGCTTACCTTATCAATCGTACGCCACTTCGTACTTTAAATTTTAAAACTCCATTAAACTCAGTAAAGTTCTTCAAGAAAAAACTCTCTATAATTGTATTCCTCCTAAAGTCCTAAAGTCTTTGGTTGTGTTTGCTTTGTTCATCAGAATGGTCTAAGCAAATTAGACTAGAGCCTTAAAGTGTGTGTTTGTTGGTTACTCTAGTACTCAAAAAGGATACAAGTGTTACCATCCTTCTTTTAGGAAATACTTTGTGAGTATGGATGATACCTTTTGGGAGTTTAAATCTTATTTTCCTTCCCAGTCACCTCTTCAGGGGGAGAAATATCATATGAAGAGATGATAGATGACATTTCTTTCCAGGGGGAGATTCCTATAGAGATAGATAGTAAGAGAGAGCAACCACCCAAATCTCTAAGAAGATTGGATAGACCTGATTTGAAAACCTACACATGGCGGACTAATACAGATACAACCATGGAGCACAACCATGGAGCATGACGACCTCTGATCAACCCTTTCATCTCTCTCCAATCTTCAGTCCCTGACCTCTCCAATTTCAGTCCCTGAAGATACAGAAGAACAAGAACTTGGTGAGTCTTCTTTAATTCCTGTTGATTCTAATCCTAATCTTGATTCTAGTCCTTCCGACAATGACCTTAATATTCCTATTGCTCTTAGAAAAGGAGTTAGAACATGCACTAAAATCTCATCTCCCATTTTATATCCTATAATGCTCTGTCCCCTTCCTATAGAGCCTTTGTTTTGTTTGTTTCTTCTGTTTCTTTACCGCAGGATTGGCAAGAGGTATTACAGGACTCAAAATGGAAGGCTGCAATGGTTGAGTAGATGAGAGCTTTGGCAAAAAACGAGACATGGGATATTGTAACTCCTCCACCAGGAAAAAAGCCAGTTGGATGTAAATGGGAGTTCACAATTAAACATAGGGCAAATGGTTCAATTGAGAGGTACAAAGCTAGATTGGTAGCCAGAGGATTCAATCGGACCTATGGAGTTAATTATCAGGAAACATTTGCCCCTGTAGCCAAGATGAACACAATCAGAATTTTGTTGTCTTGTGCAGTCAATCTTGACTAGGAGTTACATCAATTTGCAATCTTGACTAGAGTTACATTCAATTTGATGTAATAAATGCTTTTCTACATGGTTGATTTGAAAGAAGAGGTCCTGTA